TTTGTACGTGATTCAGGTATAAAAATTTCATACTTGTGTTCTCATATTGATTACAATTATTGAAAAAACATTTCTTTAGTTTCAGTTTCTTCTGTCATTTTAGTTTATGTTTTCTGACTACAATTTTGTTTTTATTATATGCGTGTTCTACATGATTTTGAATGTTATTTTAGTGGATATTTCCTATTTGTTAGGTTTTTTTATTAGGATATTTATATATGTAGTTCTTTCATGTGTTATTTTATGGTGGTTCTTTTGCTCAGTTTTCAGTAATTTTTATTGTTGTTTATAGTGCTATTTAAAAAAAAAAAAATGTTTGTGCACATTTTAATTTTATTTGCTATTTTTCAGGAATAACCGAAATCAGTCGAGATGTTGGAGTTGATATATCACCTGGGTCAACTCAATATTACACCCCTTTATGTGATCCTGATTTGAGGCCCTTTGTTGGACAAGAATTTAAGACGTTGGATGATGGTCTTCAATTTTATAAGAAATATGCAGTTCAATGCGGATTTGACATTCGACGTTCAACATTGTCAAAGGCAAATGATGGTGTTTGCATTAGGAGATATGTTGTGTGTAGTAGAGAGGGTGTGAAGAATTATTCATTAACTGAAGATGCGGATGACTTGGGCAGTGCAAAGGAAAAAAGGCGTAGGGTGTCTAAACGTGTCAGTTGCAAAGCTCGGGTGATTTTTTAAGTTTGTTAGCTCTGATAAATATTTTATTGCAAAGCTCGGGTGATTTAGTATTTTAATATTTTTATTAAATACTTTTAATGTGTACATATTGTGCACTGAACTAAACATTATTATGCAATTAATAATTTTTTGATAAATTACAAATGTGTCCCCTGAACTAAATGCAAATTTGCAATACATAGTTAAAATTTCTTAATTTGCATATAAGTCCATAGAACTTATCTAATTTTCAACTATAGGTCCCCAACCGAAAATAATTACCCATCCCGCCCTTCCCCCGTGCACAACACCTCATCCTCGCCTGCAATGAACCGCAGAACCTCCTCACACCACAACCCTCACTACAAAGGAGATGACCCAACACGATTTGCTTCCTTTGATAAGCTCTCCAAATTCGACAATGCACGTTGCTGAGTTGGATGGCCAGTTTCGATCGAGGGATTGACTGGATTGGTGGTCCTTAATGCTCAGCAGTGGTCCGCAATGTGCGACAGGTCACGCCGACGTAGACGGTGGCAGTTCTGCGTTCGAGTGCTCGGCTCATTGATTTGGAGCTCGTTTATTAAATTAATTCATAAATTAGCTCTAAATTGATTGCGTTAATTAAATTAATAAAGGACCACGACTGTATTTGATACCATCATATGCTAAACTGAAATTTATATAGATATTATATGAAACCTAGTTGATAGTTATAAGTTAACTTGCATTCAAAGTGTCAGCTAATAGTTAGAAATTTAGATGATATGTTAAAAAAGTTCAATAAAAATTACTTATTTAGTAAAAAACAAAAAACAATTAACTTTTTTAAATGCAATAAATAAGCATTAAAGATAAAGTCCATTTCAATCCAACAAATGAATTCGACTTATTTGAATAAGAAAATTTATAAACTCTCTAAACAAGTTGCGTGTTATTTATCAAACACGTTTTAAGACCATCTCCAACCGACAAACCCAGTAACTGTCACATCAAACAGTAATTTTTCTCCAACCGAAAAACTCATACTCAACCCCAAAAGAATATTCCTGAAATATTCTCTTTCTCATCACCTTTTACAATTTTTTAATATTACCCACACATTTTACAAATTTACAAATTAGACCACAATTTTATTTTAAATTTTGATTGGAAAAATATATAATAATACTAACTATAAAATAAATATTTGTACACATGACAAATCGAAAAATATATATTTATGAAAAATTAAAAATTACTCTAACCGAATAAAAAACATTAAAGACATAATAAAAATTATACATATTTGAAAACATGTAATAAAATTACACCTCAATATTATATAGAAACATGTAGTAAAATGTATAGAAAATGTTATAGATATAATTATTATTATTATTATTATTGTTATTATTGACATATAAACTATCAGTAATATTAACATAGATACAATATTCTACTTTTTTTTTAAAATTTAAGTACTGATTGTTATAATATTTCAAACAAATTGTAATTTATAAATATAAAATAAACATATTTAACCATTTTTCATATAAACAGTGATAGTATTTTATAAATATAAAGCAATTAGATATATTATATAAATTTAATAGATAGCAAATTGGACATTTAAAAAAAATTGAGGACTGGTTTGTGATTGCATAAAAATTATGCGATGTCCTGAAATGCAAACGCATATTTGCGTCAATAGGAGAGAGAAAAGGAGACCAAACGCATTTTGCATATGAGTTTGAGATTCGGTTGAAGCAATTTTCTTCCCTCATTTTGCGTTTTCCAGTTCGATTGGAGGTGGTCTAAGTTATTTGGTATGTCCGACAAGTTATTTTCGATTTAATAATTGATAACTGAAAGTCGACCAACTATATAAACAAACATATTTAATAAATTTAGTTTATAAGTTAGAAAATAAAAACTTGCCCGTTTTTCTAAATGCTTCCAAAATAAGCATATAATAGACAAATTATATCATTTTATTTGCTAAAAATATTAAAACTTAGTAGATAGTTACACAAGGTAAGCATAACACATTTGGATTTGTTTTATAAGAATTTTATTCCCAGGTATAACCTGGATTTATATTCCCAGATAAAAAAACTAGTCAAATATGATTTGCTTATGTTCATTTGACTGTTATTTTAAAAGCTTATCTTGTACAAATTTAATCAAATTTGAATGTGAAAATGTAATTTGTTGGGCGTGAATGAATGAAAAAATTAGTCAAATATGATTTACTTATTTTCATTTGACTGTTATTTTAAAAACTTATCTTGTACAAATTTAATCAAATTTAGATAATGCATGTTTGTTGGGCGTGAATGAATAAAAAAATTAGTCAAATATGATTTACTTATTTTCATTTGGCTGTTATTTTAAAAACTTATCTTGTTAAATTTAATCAAATTTAGATAATGCATGATGTTGTGAAAATTCAATTTATTAGGCCTGAATAGAATAAAAAAAAATATGATATTTGAAAATTTAATTGTTAGTTTGTTAATTTCTATCATCTCTAAAATTTTATATTGTATTATTAAGAAGAAATTAAAGAAAAAAACTATGATAGTTAAAATTTAACTTGGTAGGCGTGCAATTCAGGTTTGACCGGTTGACAACTTTATCACTTTGTTTGATTTTTGTGAAGGGGTGTATTTAATTGGAATTTCAAGTGATATTTTAATTGACATTTTGAGATTTTTTAAAATTTGAGACTTTTTAAGATTTTCGGATGTAAGAAGAGTTATGTGAAATTTGTTTTGAGGTGGGATTTGGTATAAGGATTTTTCTTTAGAAATCCCAATAAATCTTGAAAAAGATAAATCTTAGTCTCAAATAAGTTAAGTACCTCGGATTTTGTAAGACTTTTTGAAATCTCTATTGAATACCCCAAGACTACACCAGAAATTCTAAAGCCTTAAAAAGTCTTTAGAAATCGCAATTGAATACATTACTTTGCGTGATATTCGACTGTATTGACCAATCTAGGGATCAAAATGTCATATTTCTCCTCAAATATATAAAAGGCCAAATATATTCTCCTAAATTGATTTTTTTTTTTTATAATCATAGCTAATTTTAAAAAAAAAATGTATAGTTATTTGTTATGGAATTTCGAGTATATATTAAAATAATATTTAAAATAAATTAATTAATGTTGATGTAATATAAAGGTAAGAGAGAGATGATGAGAAGTGACGGTTAGTTAAGATTATGTGAGTGAATGAATAATGAATTAAAGTTTATGTGATTGTAAAAAAATACTTGATTGTTATCATTTAATTATATTGATAATATTGACAATAGTAGGATGAGTAAAATAGAGTTAGATTTTGAGTATATATTGAATATGAATTGAGTTTTTTATCATACTTTCACTACTTGAATAATTATTTGTTTGAAATCGTTTAATTGGAAAAGGGAATGTGGTAAATTTCACTTTAATCATTGCCTAACCGTTGTTGTAACACACCCACACACACACGTGGACATAACCACGGACCGAATCGACGTACCTTCGATACTTTCATACTTTCGCTACTTCACCCACAAAAATTATTTCAATCTACCTTACCTTCAGACATTATCTCATCTATCTATCTAGGGGTCGTTTACTTCATGGGACAGGACGGGATAAGTTAAATAGTCCCACAATATCCTACGTTTACATCTAGGGATTGGGACAGGACTAAGTGATGTGGAATCACATGTGGCGGCGGGGCCTACCACTATATCCCTTATAAGCCGATAATTTCTGTCCCGCCTACACCCCGGGATTTTTTTATCCCGCACTGTTCATCCCAACTTTGCCCTCATAAACGCATGTAAAAATACCTAAATACCCCTGCACATCCATTTAATTACATACCCCACCATTTAATATTAGATTGAACAAACTTTGCCCTAAGCTACGAAAATCGAATTTGCAGGGGAGGGAGCTGGAGTTCTTGGTCATTCCGTCGTTGCCAAGGTAAGGTTTTCTTCTCAACTGTGTTGTTTGTTTTTGCCAATTCAAAGCTGTGTTGGTCCCTCTCATTAAAAATGGGATTTACCTTACAACCCGCTTTGACATAAAAGGTAAATAAAGATCTACAATTATGAAATCGCTTACTCATCCATGGCGCATTGAAAGAAATATCCTTCAAGAACTCAGCAGCTGAAGCTCGACAGTCACGAGATTCCAAAACGAAACCTTTGCAATGAATGAGCAACTCTAACAGTAGATTCGAGTCAAGTTTTTCAGGTTCTTCAAATACTGAAGAATGAGCAAACGTTTATTAAGTGAAAGAGCAGCGTCTTGAGATAAATTCTCGTCCTCTTCACTCCAATTTAGGGTTCGAAAGAAATGAATCTGAGAAAAAAGGGGGAAATCAGATGCAAAAAATCCAAACCCCGACTGTCAATCTGCATCTTTTCATTAAGCTCCCAAGGGTAAATATGTCATTGCAAGACTTATCTTGTCACTTAGTCCCACAAAGCAAAAATCTGTCACACAAAGTAAACAATGGACAAAAAGCTGACGTGTAAAGTTATCAGGATTATTTTGTATAATCCTGTCCCATGAAGTAAACGATCCCCTAGAGAACACCAATCGGGATGAAGATCTCATCTAACAACTATTTATTTGAAATCATTTAATTGAAAAAGGGAATGTGGTAAATTTAACTTTACTAATTGCCTAACAATTGTCGTAACGCATGCACACACGCAGCTGTTGAAAAAAAATTAATTGAAGACTTAAGACTTTTAGAGATTTATAAAAAAATTTTACAAGTCTTAATTGAATAAAAATAACTTTTTATAAATCTCAAAAGTTTTAATTGAATAAACAAATTCTAAAAGATTTAAAAAATCTCTAAAAATTTAAATTGAATTAACCTCTTAATCTATATATATATAATTGCTAGCTAAGCAATAAATTTTACCTAATAAATAAAACCTAATAAATTTTACCTATGTGGCAAATCATTAATAAAACCTAATAAAGAAAACCTAATAAATTTTATTTATGTGGCATTAATACACCCAATCTCATTAATAAGAAAATATTTCATTACATTTTTTTGGGTTAATTAAGACAAAAACCATTATATTTTATGTTAATTGATTAATAATTATATTTTTTATTGAATAATATAATAGTTAATATTAAAATTAGTAATTATATTTTATACTAAATAATATATGAAAGTTACATAAAATTATATTTTACACTAAAATCAATATTTTTTTATATGATGAAGCAGTTGTTTATTAATACATTAATTTTTTTATGTCATAGTAAAATTTCTTAAAATCACATAAATAATTGCTATAATAAATGTAATATTTTTCAGCTAATTAATTGGTCATAGTCACTCAAAATTATAAAAAGTATATATTTATTACATTTTATGCAATCAATATAGTGATTCGTATACAATCAAATCGTGTGTACTATTTATTTTAACCAATGATCAAATTTTAAAATATAATACTATTATATAATTTAAAATTTTAATATTATATACATAAATATAACTTATAATACTATATGTTTGAAATATAATACAATTATATAACTTATAATTTTTATATTATATACATAAATATAACTTATAATATTTAATTTTATTTATATCTGTGCAAATGCACAGAGTCGAATACTAGTTGTTCTTTAAAGACTGAATGAAAGACGATCTTAATTGTAATTAACAGACAGTGAATGAAGACAATTTTGATTGTAATTAATAAAAGGGAGGCAACGGATACGGAATCCATTCCAATCACACGTACGCGCAAACCTAGAGAAAGACAAACACATTTTGTTGGAATAAAAGCATACAAATTACACCTAGAGAGAGAACCTTTTTTTTTTTTTGTCTCATCTATACTTATATTAAATGGGGTATTATTTACCAAATTAAATAGTCAGAAAAGTCAACAGCATTTATTGCATTACTATTTCCATATTACTAGTACAGAGCCCGTGCGATGCACGGGGTGCACCATTTTAAGGCTATTTATCCAGGCTTATAATTATATACATGAATAAAGAAAAATGTATGAGATATATATAGTACGTGACCCGTGCAAACAAGATATATTTATTTGAAGAATATTATATTATAAGATGCACTATTCAATAAAAGTTTATAATACGCAAGAAAATTGTACAATGTTCAATAAAAGTTTTATAATATTCAAGTGGAGTCTTAAAGTCTCTTGTATATTAAGACTACTGACAAAATAATATTTTAATCAATGAGTTTCATTTCATTGTAGCCAAATTGTGAATGTGATTTGAGGAGTACAACGTTTAAGTCTAAAAAATTACGAATTTTTACCTCTTTTGATCAACGTTTAAGTCTAAAAAATAATAGAGTTATTATAAGTTTTTTTTCTACATCTTTTAAAATATTAAATATGAGCATGTTAGGGCTAGCTTGTAAAATAATTAATATATTATCTCACTAAAACATTTATACTAATAAAAATTAAATTTTAGCATATAAATTTATCCCTTTATATAAGAGAAAGTAACAGTTTTACTTATTGTTGTTCACCCTATAATATTTAATTATTATTTTATTATATAATAAAAAAATATTGTTAAATAGTCTAGTAGAATTGTTATAAAATTATATGATTTTTTTTTTACAATATGGATTTAATTATTTTTTTATGATTTGATAATATAAACAAATCTATACTTAACTTTGACAAATAAAACAAATAAATACTTTAGTAAGTATTTAATGTATATACTAAATAGGAATATATTTGGTATAATCAAATACCAAATCTATACTTATATAATAAGGTATACCATTTACGAAATTTAGTAAGTTGAAAAGTCAATGCAATAAATGCATTACTATTTTGAGTAACATAATATAATATCATATCTATACTTATATAAAAGGAGATTCTATTTACTACATTTACTATCCAGAAAAGTCAACTGCATTAAATGCCATTATTATTTTGTTATTATAATATTTTATATATTTAATTGATTTATTTATTTGTTTTATTTTAAAAAGGTAAGTATAATAAAAAGATTTTAATAATAAAAAAATCAAATACCAAATAAAAATGTACACTTTGACTTATTTGATTATATTTGGTATTTGATTATACCATATATATTAATTTTTAGTATATACATTAAATACTTACTAAAGTATTTATTTGTTTTATTTGTGAAAGTTAAGTATAGATTTGTTTATATTATCAAATCATAAAAAAAATATTAAATCCATATTGTAAAAAAAAAATCATATAATTTTATAACAATTCTACTACACTATTTAACAATATTTCTTTTTTATTATATAATAAAATAATAATTAAATATTATATGGTGAACAACAATAAGTAAAACTGTTACTTCCTCTTATATCAAGGGATAAATTTATATGCTAAAATTAAATTTTTATTAGTATAAATATTTTAGTGAGATAATATATTAATTATTTTACAAGCTAGCCCTAACATGCTCATATTTAATGTTTTAAAAGATATAGAAAAAAACTTATAATAATATTGTTTTTTAGACTTAACGTTGATTAAAAGAGGTAAAAATTCTTAATTTTTTAGACTTAAACGTTGATTAACACCATAGATTAAGAGTCTATATTTAGTAAAATTCCTAATTGTAATAAAAAAATTAATTTTTGTTATATTTTAGAATATCTTTGAATTCATTATAAAAAAAAAAAGAAAAAAAAAACTACAATGAAAAAGGCAAGTCAGCTATATATCGATTTGTTGTACTCCTCAAATCACATTCACAATTTGCCAGTAGTCTTGAATATTATAAAACTTTTATTGAACATTGTACAATTTTCTTGCGTATTATAAACTTTTATTGAATATTGCATCTTATAATATAATATTCTCTAAATAAATATACCCCGTGCTTCGCACGGGTCACGTACTATATATATCCGGTATATTTTTCTTTATTCATGTATATAATTATAAGCCTGGATAAATAGCCTTAGAATTGTGCACCCCGTGCATCGCACGGGCTCTGTACTAGTATAATCAAATAAGTCAAAGTGTACATTTTTATTTGGTATTTGATTTTTTTATTATTAAAATCTTTTTATTATACTTATCTTTTTAAAATAAAACAAATAAATAAATCTATTAAATAAATAAAATATTATAATACCAAAATAGTAATGGCATTTAATGCAGTTGACTTTTCTGGATAGTAAATATAGTAAATAGAATCTCCTTTTATATAAGTATAGATTGTATAATACGGAAATAGTAATGCAATAAATGTTGTTGACTTTTCTTTATACTAAATCTGATAAATGGTATACCTTTTAATATAAGTATAGATATTATATAAAAGAATAATCTATTTACTACATTTACTATCCAGAAAAGTCAAATGCATTAAATGTCATTACTATTTTGGTATTATAATATTTTATTTTATTTATTTGTTTTATTTTAAAAAGGCAAGTATAATAAAAAGATTTTAATAATAAAAAAATCAAATACCAAATAAAAATGTACACTTGGACTTATTTGATTATATTTGGTATTTGATTATACCAAATATATTCCTATTTAGTATATACATTAAATACTTACTAAAGTATTTATTTGTTTTATTTGTCAAAGTTAAGTATAGATTTGTTTATATTATCAAATCATAAAAAAATATTAAATCCATATTGTGAAAAAAAAATTCATATAATTTTATAACAATTCTACTAAACTATTTAACAATATTCCTTTTTTATTATATAGTAAAATAATAATTAAATATTATATGGTGAACAACAATAAGTAAAACTGTTACTTTCTCTTATATCAAGGGATAAATTTATATGCTAAAATTAAATTTTTATTAGTATAAATG